AAGAACCTGCTGAAGGAGCGGTACGAAGTACGGCCGCGGCCGCGCAGCGTCTCCAGAAGCAGAAGAGACTCCAGCGTCCGGGTCCCCAGCACCAGCAGCAGCGCCACCGCTCGGGTCCTCAGCTCCAGCAGCAGCTCCACCAGGTGGGTCCGCAGCACCAGCAGCAGCACCACCCCCAGGGTCCGCAGCTACAACTCCGCTAGCGCCGCCAGCTCCAGAGTCCCCAGCTCCAGCAGCTCCAGTCGTAGTGCTCCCAGAACAACCAGTCCCGGCAGCTCCAGTACCCCCAGCTCCAGCCGAGCCACTAGGACGGCGAAAGCGCCGGACGTACCAGTCACGAAGCTGCTGTGGTGTGAGAGACTGCTCAGCACCCCGAACCGGAGCACCCCCAGACGCAGCAACCCGAGGCTCCGTAGGCTCAGTAGCAGCACCCCCAGGCGCAGTACCCGCAGGCGCAGCACCCCCAGACTCAGCACCCCCAGACTCCGCACACGCCGGCTCAGGACCCCCAGTCGCAGCACCCCCAGGCTCAGCACCCCCAGGCGCCGAACTCTCAGGCACAGTACCCTCAGCTCCAGCACCCGTAGTCCCAGCACCCCCAGGCCCAGCACCCTCAGGCTCAGCACTCCCAGCAGCACCACCTGCAGCAGCACCTGAGTCACCTGTGACCTCGACAGGCTCAGCGACGGGAGGAGGGTCTACCTGAGAGACACCTGAAGGAGCAGGACCCTGAGGGGGAAGGGGGTCTACCGGAGGGGGACCAGGAGCAAGGAAAAGCGGCGGGGGAGGGAGGGGGGCAGTACGGTAGGGGAAGAGACGGTAAAAAGGGACCGACTCGTCAAAGGTGACGTCCTGAGAGGCGAAGACCCGGCGCGAGGTGGGGTGGTAAAACTGCCAGCCCGGCGCGTCAGGGACAAAGCCAAGGAAGACACAGGGAAGCGTGCGGGAGGAGAGCTTGTCCGCGGACGTATCGCGGACAAGGGCACGAGCACCCCACACCCGGAAGCGCGACGCATCGCCAACCTCCCCCGTCCAACGCAGTGTGGGCGAGGTCTCCGGCAAGGAGACACGGGGCCAGAGGTTGAGCTGATGCGCGGCGTACCGGACAGCAAACGGCCACAGAAAATGGGGAGCCGCCGCGTGGACCAAGGAGGTACGAGCGACCTCCATGACCAGGCCAATGCGGCGCTCAGCAACCCCATTCTGCTGTGGGGAGTCCGGAAGCGTGAAGGTCTGCTCGATGCCCTCCGCCTGACAGAAGGTCCTCAAGAGGTCGGAGGAAAACTCACCACCTCTGTCAGAGTGCAGACGCAGGACAGGAAGATCCGTCCGGAAACGGCGGCGGAGCTGGAGACGAACTGTGCGGATCCAAGGGATCAGAACAGCAGGGACCTCACCCTTGGTGCGCAAGGGGAAGACCGTGGTGTAACGCGAGTAGTCGTCGACAACCAGCAAAAAGTACCGCTCACCGCCCTGACCACGAACGCGGGCTGGGCCCCACACGTCCAGGTGGAGGGTCTGCAGAGGAGCCTCTGTCGGGGGGAACGAGGAGGAGTGAGGAGCGGCGCGCTGCCGCCCCTCGACGCAAGGAAGGCAAGGCGGCGCAGGCGAGGCAGGGAGGGGAGGGAGGGACCTGGGAAGACCAGACACAAGGTGGCGACGGTGCATGCCACGGAGGCGTGGCAAGGAGGGGTGACCCAGGCGGTGGTGCCAGAGAAGAGTCTGGTGCGACAGGGAACGACACTCACAGGCGTGGGCTACCAGACCTGACGCGGACACCTGACCGACAGCAGTGACCTGAGGAGACGCAGTGGTCAGTGTGTAGAGACTCGACCCCGGCCGACGAGTAAACGTAGCCAGGTGACGGCCGGTCCGGGAGCACGTGCAGATCGCCACACGCTGTCCTCCAGGGGTAAAGGTGTCAACCCACTGATCCTGGATGACAGCGTTGCTCACCAGGTTCGTCGAGAACGAGGGGAGGTGGAAACCCGTCAACGAGCCAGACGGAACCGCCGGACAAGGGAGCACAGTGGTGGACCGGGCAAGGACCGGGCCCCCAGAGGGGTCAGCCAAGGAGACTGGGACCGGTGCAGGAAGCGGTGTGAGCTCAGTACTGTCTCGAAAGAAGCAGCGGGAAGCACCTGAGTCAAGGGTGAAGGTGTGACAGGTCTCAGCCGGTGCAGTACCTGAGAGAGCAGTCTCTGTGGGTGCTGTACCTGAGAGAGCAGACTCGCAAGTAGCAGGGACAGTGCTGGAGGGAGCAGGTACAGGGGGCACCATACCAGAGAGAGCAGACTCACTAGTACCTAGGGCAGCGGGCCCTATACCTGGGTCAGGCGGCACACACAAGTAACAGTCTCCCTCGGCACTAACAGTCAATGCATACATGGCAGCAATAATAGCATCAAAGTCAAGAGCAAAGATATCAACCCCAGCCCTCATCAGCTCAGCCCAGCGAGGGCGCTCAACATCCTCGCCCATCTCCTCACGCCAAGCGTCGTCAAGGCGGAAGAAGCAGCGGTACTGAGTGTGGAACTTTCCACACGTCTGCCCCTTGCGATCACCTGTGCGAATGACATAGGAACAGCGGCCACTGCCCCCCGACGTCCCACGCTGAGCAAGCCACTCACGAAGCTGCTGGGTCGACTGGGGACGCTGCTGCTGCTGGGAGCTCTGGCCCGAGCCAGTGCCTCCACTCCGACCTCCACCGCCGCCACTACCTCCGCTCCGACCGCCACCACCGCCACCGCCACCGCCACCGCCACCGCCGCCACTGCCGCCGCTGCCACCACCGCCACTGCTCCCGCCGCCGCCCCCGCCTCCGCCGCCGGCCCCACTCCCACCGGCACTCCCGCCACCGCTCCCTCCAGCACCGCCTCCCCCCCCACCTCCCCCACCCCCTCCCCCCCCAGCGCCACCCCCGCCACCCTTGCCCCCCTTGCCCTTGCCGGTGCGGCGCCTCCCACCAGGAGCAGAAGCAGCGCCAGCAGACTCAGCACCAAGGAAGTCAACAGCAGCAGCAGTAGCATAGGAGGGAGCGAGGGGAGAGGGAGAGCATCCCTCAAAGATGGGGGTGCGAGGAGCGCCGCGAGCAGCACCTACAGCTACAATGCTCTTCTCGGCTGCTAGCAGCTTCTCCTCTAGGAGGGCGACAGTGAGCTCAGTGGGACAGCGAGCAAGGAAATAGTCGCGCACTGAGCTGAGGGTGTCAGGGAGACGGGTGACTATGAAGTGGAGTGTCCAGTACAGGGGAGGGGGGTTCTTAGCGCAGAACTCGGTGGGAAGGGCGGCACGCAGGCGAGCATCACTAGTGCGAAGGTGGGTGATAAGATCGGCGACTGTAGCAAAGGTGGACAGGTCAGGGAACAGGTAAGGCAGCATGAGACGGCTAAGCTCGGCTGTGGCAGGTGAGGAGTAGCGAGCAACGACAGCGTCGTATAGGGCTTTAGCGGTTTTGCAGTCGCCAAAGTGCTCTAGCTCAGGGAACGGCAGGTGACTGCGAATAGCCAGGCGAGCTGCAGCGTCACGAGTCTGCCACTGTGAACGTACACTAAGCTCGGCTGTGGCAGCAGGAGCAGCGGCAGCACCAGACGCGTAGTCATAGAGGGAGATGTGGTCCGTGCTATTGCTCATAAGATACAACTGCAGGTCGTCGAGCCAGGAAGTGAACTGCACGGGACGGCCCTCAGCATCGAAGGAAAGAACGCGAATAGAGGCCATAGCTCAGGCGTGAGGGCACAGCAGAGCAGCGGCAGCAGCAGAGGGGACGCGCTAGAGCGAAGCTAGCAGCCACAGCAGGAGCAAGCGGCGGTGCACAGGCAGGGAGCAGCAGGCGAGGCGGGCAGCGCTGCAGGCGGGAAGTGCGGCGGGCGGGCTGCGAAGCGGGCAGCGGGGCGGGCGGGCGACGCGGCGAGCGGGCAGCGCGGCGGGCGGCTGCGAAGCGGGCAGCGGGCGGGCGGGCGACGCTGCAAGCGGGCAGCGGGCGGGCGGGCGACGCTGCAAGCGGGCAGCGAGGCGGGAGGGCGACGCTGCGAGCGAGCAGCGGGCGGGCGAGCGACGCTGCGAGCGGGCAGCGAGCGAGCGGGCGACGCTGCGAAGCGGGCAGCGGGCGGGCGGGCGACGCTGCGAGCGGGCAGCAAGCGGGCGGGCGACGCTGCGAAGCAGGTAGCGGGCGGGCGGGCGGCGCTGCGAGCGGGCAGCGAAGCGGGCGGGCCGCGAAGCGGGCAGCGAGCGGGCGGGCGGGCTGCGAAGCGGGCAGCGGGGCGAGCGGGCGACGCTGCGAGCAGGCAGCGCGGCGGGCGAGGGGCGAGCGGGCAGCGTGGCGGACGGGCGACGCTGCGAGCGGGCGGCTCGGCGGGCGGGCGACGCTGCGAGGGGCGCGCGAGGGCGCTAGCGAGGGGCGCGCGAGGGCGCTAGCAAGGGGCGCGCGAGGGCGCTAATGAGGGGCGCGCGAGGGCGCTAACGAGGGTGCGCGAGGGCGCTAACGAGGGGCGCGCGAGGGCGCTAACGAGGGGCGCGCGAGGGCGCTAACGAGGGCGCACGAGGGCGCTACGAGGCTAGGGCACGGGGTAGCGTGGTAACCGCATGCGAGCGGTGGTGGGCCCTAAAAAAACGGTCGGTAGGTCCTAGGGACCTCCTGCTCTGAATACCATGTTAGAATCACTAGGCAAGAATGAATGAACTAGCAGAAGTTTGGGTACAAATATGAAACCCTAGTTGGGGTTGTACCCCATATTGGCTACCCCACTACAGCCTACCAACATATAACACATTACAATTTAACACCTGCGCCTATCAGGTTCTGACAGGTGCTCGCCGGGGCCACCCTTGTGGCCGCCTTCACCCCCCTGGTCAGTGTTTTGCTCAGCTCACTGACACGGTTCGTTTGGTTTACGGGGTTGGCGGTCCTGCCCCTGACTGGTTCCCCCTTGTTCAGCGTTACGGTTCCGCTCTGTGGGACATGTCTGCCGAGCAGTTAGCTGATCTGATTGGAACTCCTCATGCTATGTATGCTGTTGTTGACTCTAGTGTTTCTGACTCTGTTTACTCTGGTGTTGTTAGCTTAGGTGCTAGCCTTGCTCAGTTGCCTGTTGCTAGTGTAGGTTCTTGTGTAGACACTAGTCCAGCGGCTACCTCGGAGGACACTTCACTGTCTTTCACGCTGGACTCTGGAGCCTCGCACTGCTTCTTTCGTGACAGCACGACACTTACGCCACTTCCTGCGCCTGTCTCTGTGGCACTGGCTGATCCCACCTCGGGACCAGTCACTGCACGTCACACTACCACTTTGCCGTGTCCTGCTGCCCCCTCCGGGTCTCTCACTGGGTTTCATGTCCCCTCGTTCTCCCGGAACTTGGTGGGCGTGCGACCCCTCGTGAGTCAGCACGTGGGTGTGTGGTTTGAGCCTTCTGGGGAGACTGCAGTGTGTGTTGACGGTGACTCTTACCAGCCTCTCGCCACCTTTGCTGCTGAGCCGGGTTCCGGTCTCTACACTCTTCACACTGGCCCGCGCGCACGGCAGTGGACGCAGCAGCAGCAGCAGCAGCAGCAGCAGCAGCAGCAGCAGCAGCAGCAGCAGCAGCAGCAGCAGCAGCAGCAGCAGCAGCAGCAGCAGCAGCAGCACCAGCAGCAGCAGCAGCAGCAGCAGCAGCAGCAGCAGCAGCAGCAGCAGCAGCAGCAGCAGCAGCCGCAGCGGCCGCCGTCGCAGCAGCCCCTACTCCCAGTTCCTGTCCCTCCCCCTAGTCTCCTCCCTGCGTCTCACCAGGTGGTTCCGTCCCCTCAGGTTGTCGCGTCCAGTCCAGTCGCTGCGTCTTGCTCCTGTCGGTCGCTTGCCCACCCCACCGTTCTGTGGCACCACCGGATGGGACACCCTTCTCTTCCACGTCTGCGTGCTATGTCTAGTCAGCGTCTGGTCTTAGGTCTCCCGCGTGTCTTGCCGTCGCTGCCGCCGTCTCTTGCACCACCGTGCGGTCCTTGCGTCGAGGGTCGGCTGCGCGCCACCCCTCACTCCTCCTCCCTTCGTCTGGCCACCGAGCCGTTTGAGACGCTTCACCTAGATGTCTGGGGCCCCGCCTCTCGCCTTGGCCCTGAGCGTGAGCGTTTCTTTCTGGTGGTTGTTGACGACTACTCCCGCTACACCACGGTGTTCCCCCTGGCGAAGAAGTCTGAGGTGACTTCTACGCTGATCAGGTGGTTGCTCACCACCGCGGACACTCGTGGTCGTCGTGTCAGCTGTCTTCACTCTGACCGCGGGGGTGAGTTTCGCTCCGGCATTCTCGCTGGATTCTGTCGCGAGCAGGGCATTCGTCAGTCCTGGACGCTTCCAGAGTCCCCGCAGCAGAATGGGGTTGCTGAGCGCCGCATAGGCTTGGTCATGGAGATCGCCCGCACCTCCCTGACTCACGCCCGTGCCCCCCATTTTCTGTGGCCTTACGCGGTTCGGTACGCCGCGCACCAGCTGAACCTCTGGCCACGCGTCTCTCGGCCAGAGGCTTCACCGACCAGTCTTTGGACCGGGTCCCCTGGTGTTGCGTCGAGGTTTCGTGTCTGGGGTTGCTTGGCTCTTGTCCGCGACACCTCTGCGGACAAGCTCTCGCCTCGCGCCGTCCCCTGTGTCTTCCTTGGTTTCCCTGAGGACTCCTCTGACTTCACCTTTTACCACCCTCCCTCTCACCGGTTCTTTGACTCCCGTGACGTCCGTTTCGAGGAGTCCACCCCGTACTTCGTCAGGCACCCCAGTCGAGGTCTCCCGGTTCCTCCTCCCCCCCTCTTCCTGACTGCCGCTCCCCCTCCTGCTCCCCCGGTACAGCCTCCCCCCCCTGGTCCAGCCCCGTCAGGTGTGTCCCAGGCTACCCCTCCTCCTTCGGTAGCCCCTCCGGTACAGCCTCCCTCCCCACAGTCCTCCTCGCAGCGTGCCGCAGGTGCTAGCTCTCGAGAGGTTGGTGCCGAGCCTGTTCCAGTACCGGTTTCTAGTTCTGGGGGTGCTGGAGTTGGAGCTGAGCCGGTGGGTGCAGAGGACTCTTGTCTTCCGGGAGCTGGTGCTGGTCGCGCGGACACTGGGGGTGCTCTGTCTGGGGGTGAGGGTGCGCCTCCTTCAGGTTCTGGTGAGCCTGGGTCTGGAGCTGGTGTTAGTGCTGCCTCTGGGGGTGGTGTGCCTGGTCCTTCGGGGGTGGACTCTGGAGCTGCCGCTGCTCCGGACACTACTCCGCCCCCCCACCCCTACCCGACTAGGCACCAGGCTCGTGTTCGCCGTGCCCGTGAGGAGCAGCTGGCGTTGGAGAGAGAGGAGAGGGAGTTACAGCAGCTGGAGGAGCAGCAGCAGCAGCAGCAGCAGCAGCTGGAGCCGCAGGAGCAGCAGTCCCAGCAGCAGCCGCAGCCGCAGCAGCAGCAGCAGCACCAGCAGCAGCAGCAGCAGCCACTTCCTCCTCCTGTCTCAGGTCTTCGGACCCTTGGTCTCCCCTCTCCTTCTCCTCCCTCCCCCGCCTCTCCTCCTGTCTACGGTCCCACGTTTCCTCCTCCTGACTCCTCCCCCGCTGTTTTCCCCAGTTCTCCGCCTTTGTCCTCTCCTCCTCCGTCTCGTACTTGGGCTACTCGTCGCTCTCCTCGTGCTCGTCCCTCGTCCCCTGTTCCTTTCACTGACCTTCGTACTGTCTTGTTACGTTCTAGTCCGTCTCGTTCGGCTCCTCCTGTGCTTCCTTCTCCTCCTGAGTCGGCCCTCACAGCTTCTCTCTCTACCCCTGTCACTGACTACTACCGCACGTACCGTCCTGTTCTCTCTCGTGTTCTCGCCTCTCTTGTTACCCACCCTCGTGCCTCTTTGTCCTCTGTCTCTGCTCTTACTGCCGCGGTCACTGAGTTTGCCTCTACTCGCCGCCTTGACTACGCCACCACTCTTGTGGCTGCTCCTCCTACCAGTCCTCTGGCCGTCGGGGGTGTGTCTGCCCTTGGCTGTGACGTCCTAGAGGACAGGCAGTTTGAGCTAGAGTTCCTGGCAGCCGCTTCCCCTCATCTCTGTGCCATGCTCCTCACCCCTGAGGGTGACCCTGACGCCCTTGACATTCCGACTCCTCGCACTTACGCTGAGGCAGTGTCAGGGCCTTGGGCCTCTCAGTGGAGAGCTGCCATGGACGCAGAGATGGCCTCCTACAGATCCACAGGCACCTACGTCGATGAGGTTCCCCCCCCTGGGACGAACGTAGTCGATGGCATGTGGATCTACAGGGTGAAGCGGCCACCAGGATCTCCTCCAGTCTTCAAGGCGCGCTACGTTGCTAGAGGTTTCAGTCAGCGCGAGGGAGTTGACTTCTTTCAGACCTTCGCGCCCACCCCGAAGATGACCACTCTTCGGGTGTTACTGCACGTAGCAGCACAGAGAGACTACGAGTTACACTCTCTCGACTTCTCCACTGCTTTTCTTCAGGGCAGCCTACACGAGGAGGTCTGGCTGCGTCGTCCCTCTGCCTTCACTGGCACTTTCCCTCCTGGGACCCAGTGGAGGCTGAGGCGACCTGTCTACGGTCTTCGCCAGGCACCTCGTGAGTGGCACGACACTCTTCGCTCTACCCTCTCTGACCTTGGGTTCCAGCCGTCTTCTGCCGACCCGTCGCTGTTCATTCGCCGTGGCTCCACACCGTTCTTCGTTCTGGTTTACGTCGACGACCTAGTTTTCGCCACTGCTGACAGGGTTGCTTTGGCAGACGTGAAGTCCGAACTGCAGAAGAGACACACGTGCACTGACCTTGGTGAGCTGCGCCATTACCTTGGGCTGCAGATCACCAGGGACAGAGCTGCTCGCACCATTACACTCTCACAGTCACACATGGTGCAGCAGGTCCTTCAGCGGTTCGAGCTTCAGCACTCCACAGTACAGCGCACACCTCTTGCTGTTGACCACAGACTCACTGGCCCCTTTCCTGACGAGCCGTTTGAGCCTAGTGGTCCCTACGCAGAGCTTGTGGGTTGCCTCATGTACCTGATGACTTGTACTCGCCCGGACCTCGCTTTCCCTCTCAGCATCCTTGCGCGCTTTGTTGCGCCAGGGAGACACCGTCCTGTTCACTGGACAGCATCTGTTAGGGTGGCGAAGTACCTAGCGACGACATCAGGCGTGGGGCTAGTTCTTGGAGGGCAGCAGTCTGTTGTACTTACTGGTCACTGTGACTCTTCTTACGCTGACGACGCTGAGACTCACAGGTCTACTCAGGGGTACTGTTTCAGTCTGGGTTCTGGAGCTGTTTCCTGGCGGTCCACGCGCTCCTCTTCGGTCTCGACCTCTACAGCTGAGGCTGAGATCTATGCTGGTGCCATGGCGGCACAGGAGCTGCGTTGGTTGACGTTCTTGCTCGCCGACCTGGGTGAGCGGCCGAGCTCTGCACCGACCTTGTTCACTGACAACAAGGCATCCATTCTCCTTTGTCGAGAGCCGCGACTGGAGAGCAGAGTGAAGCACATTAACGTCAGGTACTTTCTTCTGCGAGAGTTGCAGAGGCGTGGACAGGCTCGCTTCGAGTTTGTGGAGTCTGAGGCCAACACTGCAGACATCTTCACCAAGGCGCTTCCGCCTTGTGACCACCACAGGTGTTGTGTGCAGTTAGGCCTTGTTGACACTGGTTTTCGGCTTACTTAGTCTTGAGTTCACTGCTTGCTTTGCTTGTACCCTTTCTATATATCTCTGTTATTGTTTGGACTGGCCTTGTGGCCATTGTTGCTTGTGCTCAGAGTTTGTGGTGACGTTGTGATCCACCCTGAGCTTTGTTTCTTTGTGACTGGTCTTGTGACCGTACTCTTTTGGTTTTGCTAGACACCCCTCACTTAGGCTATGGGGGTGTGTCAAATGTTGGTAGCCTGTAGTGAGATGTGTCTTTGGGGGTACGTATGTTAGGGTTTGCTACTTGTACCCCAACCACCATCAATGAAACAACACTTCCGATCTTGAGAGGTGCATCTCTTTGTGAGTATTTAACGTCTTATTTGTTTCTGTCTGTTACGGTACTAGTAGCCCAAACAACACAACCAAATGGAAGCAGATGTTTATTATTGTTCACTTGTCTCATGAAACATTTAACGCCAAAGTGCCTCTACACTAACCAGCTATTGTTGGCCAAGGTGGTGGAACAAGACCATAGCATTATGGATAGTAGTGCAATGACTCCTCCTTTGTGATCACCTTGGACGCATTATGAACAATACACTTCAGTGTCTTTGTGGGCATCCTTCTAAAAGATCAGAGACTGTCGCATCACTAATCTAGGACTGTTCAATCGACGCTAGTGAATGTGCGGTGTAATGAAAGCAATGGAGTTCCGTTTATTGGGTCATTAATGTCACTGCGCGGGAAACTGTCCAGTGACAATGCCCATGTGAAAGTCATCATCACAAGATGGTACGAGGGCACTTGACCCTTGTGGTGCAAGGTTGTGCTGCAATGGTTGATGCACCCTCCCCAACGGAATGCCCGTGCCTTGGCTCCGAACCGCAAAACATATCCCTGCTGTACATTTTCGAGCAATTACCTTCTTGAAAGGTGGGTTCATTCGTCTCCAAAGCTACCTACAAAAAGAAAATCTACCTTTTTCTTTGTAGATTTCTATCCATCTCTGACCGACATCGGGCACGCAGTGACGTGGCATTTCCCGCATTTTTCTTGGCGGAAAGGGCTCCCAGTGGTCGTTATTGGCTGAGCCGAAGAAAAGCGTGAAGGGAACCCTTGTGAAGTGATGATGACAAAACCCCCGCTCACGCGAGGCAGTTGGCGTCAGTCCCAATGGCAAATGGAACCATCGGGTCCCTCCCGTCCTCGGCTCACGTGAAAGTCCCTGCGGGACTGACGGAAAGCAAGGGGGCTTGACGCGCATGATTCGTCACGGATGCAGTCCTTTCCGCACGCCAGGCAGCCAGCTTGCACGCCGAAGGAAGCTTCGACACCACTCCCCGTCTCATGACGCTTGCTCCTCCAGTGCTCTTCCTCGCCTCGACTTGAGTCATTTTCAGTGACTTGGACGCTGGGAAATAAAGCTGAGGGTCCCACATCTTCATTCTCAAAGCTCAGCAAGTCATTCTAGCAACGTTTACGCATAGCATTTGGATCAAAACCTCTTGCTCTAATTATCTTCTAAAAATCGTCAGCATGGTTGATGCCGTTGACTTCGAAAGGTTCTCCTCGTCGCCGGTCTCCGAATTCGCACTTGAGATGTTCAGCCGCGTCTGTTGCGACCTGGAGGACGGAGCGTGCAATGCGACCGTTTCCACGAGTGATGCTCCTTATTTCCGCGATTCGTTTGACTACAACAGCAGCGAAAGCGAGTCAGCGTGCCGGGAAGCCGAACTGGCCTGCAGTCCGATCTGGATCGACGCGGCAAGGTCGAGAATCCGCAGCGCGGCTCTCGCAGTAGTTGAGACGCAACAGCAGTCGCTGCATCTGACGTCGCTCGCTGACAGCCATATGTATGACGATGACCTTTCAGAGTTCGACGTTTCTGCTGAAGTTTGCTCCTGTATGTCGCCGAACTCCATTCGGGCTAATAGCTTCATTTCGAGGAGCAGCGGCAAGGCTGGTGTTTTCCGGTTTATCGCGACGTCGTTGCGCCTGCGGAAATGAAGTGAGGGGAGTGATTGGTAGTGTTAAATGGATGTGGAGCTCACATCTCTAGCTCCTGCCTTAGCTGGCAGCTGTATAGATTCATTTTTATGAGATGGATACGGCGTGGCCTGGAACTTATTGGCCCGTCCTTGTAGCAATAAAAGTTGTTCTCATTTAATCTCAATTTGAACATTTTGTTGCCAGATCAGTCGAAGTGCTATTTCTTCAGCGCAGGCTGAGAACCACCGATATGCTTTATAGTGGGCGCGGGCCATGTTGCCCCCCTAAAGCTTCGTTAGTGACACTTTTGGAGGTCCCTACCTAGTACGGTAATTCAAGGACAAATCTATAGGGTAGCGATTTACGGTAGGAGATTCTGCTTCCCGCGAAAGTTTGAAAAAACTTCACACCATGCCAATGCACTCTTTGATTACCTTTATTGTCCATGTACACTGCATGAGAGCCATAGGGTGTGTCTCATGATGGATAACAAAGAAAAGACCCCTCTTGCGGTTCGTCTTTAGTTGTGACAAGTCGGGCGGTATCATGGTGCTGCGGTTTGTGTTTACGGTAGTTGTGACAAGTAGGGGTTTCCTCCGCTCGTTCCATGGTGCTTCTAGGTGCTGTGCGAGACGCATGCTGGTTGATGGAATAATTTGTGCTGGCGTTGGATTCCACATTCTATAGGTTACATTCCCCGAGGACGGTGCATTGTCATGGTTGGGCTGGAAGCCCAATGCCAGTGTGAAGTTGTGAACACTTTTCATAATTTTTTTCTGAGCTATTCAGTAAAATGTCATAACCTTTAAAATTTCCAATCCGAGCCCCAACCCAATGCACCAGCCCTTCGGACAGATCCAGCAACTTTCTGAAACAGAGTTTGAATGAGAATTTCTCTTATTACTGCAGAGACGGGCCAATAAGTTGCCGGCCACGCCGTATCCATCACTGAGAAATTAATCAATGCAGCTGCCAGCCAAGGCAGGAACTAGAGATGTGAGCACCACATCTGCTAAATAGCACTAGAAATACAATCTTCTAACTTCACTTCCGCAGGCGCAACGACGTCGCGATGAACCGGAAGACACCAGCCTTGTTGCTTCTCCTTGAGTTATTTGCCTGTGTCGATTTCGGCGAAGCGCAAGAGCAACCGTCGACAGAATAGTCGAACTCAGAAAGGTCACTGTCCGCGAGCGACGTCAGATGTAGCGACTGCTGCTGTGTCTCAACCACCGCGAGCGCCGCATTGCGAATTCGCGACCTTGCCTCGTCAATCCAGATCGGGCTGCAGGCCAGCTCGGCTTCCCAGCACACTGAGTCGCCCTCGCAAATGTTGTAGTCGAATGAATCGCGGAAATAAGGAACCTCAGGCTCCGAGCAGGATGAGTCGGGTGTGCACGCGCTCTCTAGGTCGCAACAGACGCGGCTGAACACTTCGAGAGAAAGGACTGAGAGCGGAGATGCAGGGCACATTTCGAAGTCGGCGGTGTGGGCCATAGTCGACAATGTTGAGGGAATGATTTTAGAGACGTCTAGATCAAAGAGCGCCGAGGTCAACAAGCTTCTTCTGACCAGATTCAGTGCAGAATACAAAAGCAGCTATGGGTTCAGCTTTATCTCGCCACCACCATACAGGTGTGGAGTGAAAGGGGATGTCGAAACTGTTGAGTTTGCTTGGGAGTGGGGGGGAGGAAGGTCTGTTGGTTTGGGTTGGCTGGGGCCTACGGGGGCTCGAAACTTCTGGTCGTATTGGATTGAATGACGCAATCCGTAGCACAAGGCCCCTCACCTCACGTGATCCCCCTTGCCCGCGCATCACATCGCGTGAATGCAGCTTGCATTCCAGCCAGTTCAATCTACGACCACGAGGCGGGAAATTTGCGCTTTCCCTGAGCATCAACCGCATCGGGTCACCCTGCACAAGCATCCCTCCAATTCGAATCATCTAGGTTTCCACGCATTGAAGATCGAACGTCGAGCATCTGAGGCACGCCCACTGTTTTGATGCGCATACAGTACACGCCTTGCATACCTGCCATTTTCTTATGGATAGCCTGCAGAGGCGAGCCGACGACTATCTGTTCTGAATCAGCGTGTATCGGGTACGTAAGTAACGTAACGTCATGCGCCACCTTCACTTGCTTCCTCCAAAGCATTGAACAGGCAGTAACTGCTCATCAAGGCCTGGCGCGTGGAGGTTCCCCGTGAAGTCATGATTACTTCAGGTGCTGACTCGTGACAGATTTGGATGAATCGAAGTGAAGGCATGCTTGACGTGATGCGATGCGATGCGACGATCCGTTACACCATGCGCAAAATTTCTCGCCTGGTTGTGTGCATCGAACTGGAAGCTGCATCGGCTGATGTGGTGCGCGGGCAAGGGGCCATCACGTGAAGGCCCGTGCCGCGGATTGCATCACATGGGCAGAAAACTTCAAGCCCCTGTGGGTTCCGTGCATTGCATCCAGCCAAGCCAACACGCCTCACCTCATCCCCTTTCACCTTTACGGCGACATAAAGCTCAACCTTTTGGGGGTTTATAATCACTCCCTAATTTGGATAGGAGCAAAGCAGCCCACTGACCTGATTACTCATCCTAGAGCACTCGAGCATCTTCGCAGCATTATTCACCATGGCTCACACCGCCGACTTCGATATGTGCCCGGCATCTCCCCTCTCAGCCCTTTCTTACGAGATGTTTACCCGCGTCTGCGACATGGAGAGCGCGTGCAGTCTCGATTCTTCCTCCGCGGAGCCTGAGACTCCTTATTTCCGCGATTCATTCGACTACAACAACTGCGAGGGCGACTCAGCGTGCTGGGAAGCCGAGCTGGCCTGCAGCCCGATTTGGATTGACGAGGCGAGGTCACGTATCCGCATCGCGGCCCTCGCGGTGGTTGAGACACAGCAGCAGTCGCTACATCTGACGTCGCTCGCCGACAGCTATATGCATGAAAGCGACCCTTCTGAGCTCGACAATTCTGTCGACGGTTGCTCATGCGCGTCGCCAAAATCTTCCAAGACTAACAGATGCGGGAGCAGCGGCAAGGCTGGCGTACTCCGCTTCATCGCATCGTCTTTGCGCCTTAGAAAGTGAAGCAGTAACTTCCTCCTTACTAATTCAGTGCAGTGTGGCGCTCACACTCATGATTAACATAACATTAGGTTGTAGGGAGCTGATTTGTTTGTAACGATACGGCGTGGCCCGTTCAACTTCTGGCCCGTCATTTGTTGAAATTGGAATATATTTCAGATGATCTCGATATGGCGGGTTTCAATGATCTGATGCAAAGGAGTTTTTTTTGGAGAAAAAATGAATTTCAGAAAGCACGTTCTGACTTGTCAGTAACTGTACGATGTAATATACCACGTTTGTTACAAACGAGAACATATGCTCGGTCAATTATGCGTTCGTCAGGAAATCCGATGGACGGTTGTCGTCACGCCACCTGTCCACAATTCCATCAGTTTCCGACAAGTCCTTGGGAATGTATTGAATGATCCCATTCCGTGATGATTCCATCCCACCCACTCGCAGCTAGCTCACAGACACACACACGTAACACCGTTCGCTTCGCTTCCATTCACAGCTGCTCGAAAGGCTCGCCGCTCCTCACCCTGATTTCTCCAGCTCTGCTCGCTGCCTCGCTGGAATGCGCACCGTCTCGCTTCAGCTCGGTGCGCAGCACATTGCCACCGTTCCGACAGCAATCAGCAGTCAGCTTGGCGGATCGCGAGTGCGAATCTCCACTAGAAACCGCCTGTCCCACGCTCGTGCGTCAGCCAGCCCAGCGAGCCCTCAAGAGCCCGAGAGTTCGCCGCAGCGACGCGAGCTAAAACAGAGAGACGAGCAAGGAAATCAGGTTTTAGCCGTTGAAGCTCCGCGTCGGGCTGTCGTTCTGGTACCCATGGCGGCTGCAGGCGGAATCACCGTTGGATCTCTCGTGGGGTCGCCGATGCCGTTCGCAGCGTCGCAGGCGGCAGAGGCGGCGATGGCGGAGGCGTCGGAGGCCGCGTACGTGGCGACGGCAGCCGTCATGCCGCTGGCCCAGAAAACAAGCACCGTGAACGGTAGGGTCGCATCGCATCTCGCATCGCATCTCCCACAGCTCAGCAGATCAGCTCGCATCCCATCTCTCCCCCCCCTGCTTCCCCCCCTTTGCGCCGTCCCCCTTTGAGTCGTCGCTACGCGCGCTTCCCCAGGTGAGGCAGCTGCGCGCGCAGTCCTGCTGCGCGCAGTCCTGTTCGACATCGACGGCACGCTGACGGACTCCGACAAGCTGCACTTCCTCGCGTTCCAGCGTCACGGATTCACTTGCCCAAACGCCAGCTTCCACCAGACCACGTTCCCGTCTCTCATACCATCAGTGCTTCCTCCCCCCTCCCTCTCCGCCGTCTTTCCCCGCGTTTCTCCACTCCCATCCATCGCAGAGCCATTGTCGTTGCGCGCGCTTCCCCCCGTGAGGCAGCTGCGCGCGGTGTTGTTCGACATCGACGGAACGCTGACGGATTCCGACCCGCTGCACTTCCTCGCGTTCCAGCGCATGCTCTGCGACGTCGGATTCGACGGCGGGCGACCCATCGACGAAACCTTCTTTCGCTCGCGGATCAGCGGCAGGCACAACCCTGACATTGGCCGGGACCTGTTTCCTGAGTGGACCGAGGAGCAGCGCACGGCGTTCCTTGACGAAAAAGAGGCTCTTTTCAGAAGGTCAGTGAGTGATAGTGTCGTGTAACAAACAGGCATGTACTCTTCTTCCGAATCCCCTCTTCCTACGCCAAACCTTTGAATGCAGCACTCTTCCATGCTTCCATTTGGTTTCAACAGCACACCAAAATTCATGACACACGCTCATCAACCATGAGTGGCTGACTGCTTAAACTCCACAAGCACACCAACTCTCCCTCCCTCACTCACATCAGACTGGCAGGAGACCACATCAAGCCAGTGGCTGGGCTGCAGCGGCTGTGCGCGTGGATAGAGGCCACAGGGCTGCGCAGGGCTGCAGTGACCAACGCGCCGCGGGAGAACGCGGAGCAGATGCTGGCAGCGCTGGGCCTCACCTCCTTCTTCGAGCATCTCATCATCGGGTCCGAGTGCGCCCGCGCCAAGCCCTTCCCCGACCCGTACCAGGAGGCCATGCGGCGGTTCGGCGTGCGGCCAGACGAATGCTTCGCTTGTGAGGTGAGTCTGTCTTAGTTATCGGCTCCGAGTGTGCTTGGGCCAAGCCCTTCCCCGCCCCGTACCAGGAGGCCATGCAGCAGTTCGGCGTGCGGCCCGATGAATTCTTTGCGTGTGAGATGCGACTGTCTTAGGTTGGGATGGGAGGGGAGGTGCAGCAATGGGCAGGGGCTGGGTGACCGGAGGACAGGGGAAAGGGGCTGGCGGTGGTGATCAGAGAGGCGAGGGATGCATTGGAGGCACCTGACGGGGGGAAACCAGTATGGAGGGGGGAGGTGCGGGGTGCACGATTAGGGAAGTCTGATGCACTGGTGTGTCAGACTTCTGAAGAGCACAGGAGAGCCAATGGGTGTTATGAGAACATTGTTTTTTGTTGATTTTGGAACTGAAAAATCTATTCTCTTCTTTAAAATCTTTTCTGCAGGACTCGCCTTCGGGCATGAGAGCAGCTGTGGCAGCAAATCTTGCAACAGTGGGTGTACTGACTGGTAACACAGAAGACGCATTGTATAAAGCAGGGGCAGCCATTGTTGTGGAGGACTATGACGACCCACTTCTATGGTCGCAGCTCACGGCTTGATTATATGGAGTAAATACCGTAAAAAAAGTGGTTGATTCCTCTTGTGTTGAGCCACAAGGGACTGGGCAATGTAATGAAAATTCTTACTATACACACTATTATGGTGCCGTAATACTGTATGCATGTGGCTGTATTATGAGACTAGATTCTTACCTACAAATCCAACTGATTGTTCTGAGAGAGATAAGGTACCGTACAATACCTGTGAACCCATGAGGTCCGATTGGTGAGTGACTGGTTCTTGGCAGCTGCAAATGCAGTCATTGGCCATTATGGAGTGCGCATTTTGAATCTACAACTCAGTAGGACCCATTGCCAGTGTTCAGAAGGCTGCAAGGATATGGGATAGGATGATTTCTGGTTGGTTTACTGGATGAGTGGGTAGGCTGGTTGGTTGGCTGGCTGGCTGGTTGGCTGCTTTGCTACTTAGCTACGTGGCAGCTTGTCCGATTGGCTGATTGGCTGGAGGCCGCAGCATCTGAACTTACTGTGCAATCTGTGACAACCCTGTTTCCTGTCAGTCCCTGCCATCCACACTCTTGCTTACCGGTATGTCATGGCTTCTTGGTGGTGGCTCTTTCTGTATGTGCAAGCATACCTCAGCCTGCTGCATGCACGGCATGTTTAGTGCCCTGCATTTCCACGCTCTCATCCCTGCACGGCATACCTGGCATGCCACAGCACTTGAAGGACACTCCGTCCTGCTTGGGTGTTTGTGCCCAGGCACCTTCCAGGCTGCCCACCCCACCCACCACCTATTCCACAACATGCAGGCCCATCCCATCCCAGCGCAGCACAGCACAGCACAACACACCTAAACAAACCTAAGCATACCTAAGCAATCTCGGCACACCTAAGCACAGATAAGCTAAGCAAAGCACAGCAGTGCTTCGTTTTGAGCTCTTGGTGGTGGCATCCACAAGCAAGCGGCTCCACCCACCAGCAAGTGGCATCCATAGAAGAGCCACTCACGAGGAGAAGCTGCCATCAGGACAGCAACGGGACATGGAAGGAAGGAAAAGAAAGAGGAGCCACTTAGTAGCTGCAGAAGTAAAGATGATCAGACGGCAAAGATTGTGTTTTGTATTCACGTCAGATTGCTATTAAAAGACGAGAACTAAGTGGGAAATGTGCAATAAGGTCAGCAACTCCCCCTTGCAGAATCCATCACACCTACCATGTAGATTACGCAGCAGTGTTGTTGCTGCCACTGCTCCCCCACAGATGCTGCCAGAGACAGCAAAGAGACATGGAGAGGGGAGAAAAACAAGGTCGCAACAACATCAGGATACAAGGACGTGAATGAAGGGAGAGGTGGTGAGGCGAAGGCACCATCAGATTAGGATACAGAAAGACGGGAGGGAGGGTTGAGGAGAGGGATGACAAGAAACGAGTAAGGTACGGAAGCCAAGACAAGAATACAAGTGATGCTAAACATAGAGGGAACTTGAAAGCATAGGGTAGACTGTAATTACCCCTCCATTGCTGCAGCTGAAACCACTGCAGTGACCGTTGATGCTGCAACTACTGCTGCCACCAGCACTGCTGATGCTGCTGTTCATGCTGCTGGTGCAGGACATTAGGTGATGGAAGAGAGGAACACAGAAGAGGAGAGGGCAGGAGAGGTGGGGTTTCAGAGCCGTGCAGAGGGGCATGAACATCTGGCAACAGAGTAGCAGAGACGTATGGGTATTGCAGAAACATGGAAAAACTACAGAAAGGGAGGTGAGGGGAGAAGGGATGGCGAGGAAGAGGAAGAGAGGCGTGAGGATGTGAAAGCAGCGCACGGTGCATTCGCCCTGCTGCTGCATCTTCACTCCAAGTTACCTCTTGTCTTGGAACGAAAGAGCAGGTTCACAAAGAGCAATCCGCCACACTCCAGAGCTTGAAGGCTGAGAGGAACACTCACAGGCATGCACACCCCCACCCCCCTTCCCCCACTTCCCCCCTTCCCCCCACACGCTCATGCACAGTCCCTGTTCACTTGCTGCCATTCCCGTCCGTCTCGCAGGATGTGAGGCACACACACGCATGGGAAGAGAGAGACAGCCACACAGACACGGCACAACAAGGGAGGGTTAGAAGCAGCAGGAGGCGAGTGGCGGAAGCAAGGGTAAAAGACACGACTCTTGCCTCTGCGCGGCGACACCCTATGACTTACTTCACGGCCCCCCTGCAAGTACCCCCTGATCAGTCAGCTGCTCTCCCAGTTTGCACCACGCCTTCACTTGAGGCGTCCCTGTGCTGCCATTGCTCTCCGTCTCACAGGCCACAATGCACCCACACACACACACACATACACACGGGGAGAGAGAGACACACACACACGGGGAGAGAGAGACACACACACACACATACACACGGGGAGAGAGAGAGACACACACACGGGGACAGAGAGAGAGACACACACACACATACACACGGGGAGAGAGAGACACACACACACGGGGACAGAGAGACACACACATGGGGGGAGAGACACACACACATAGAAGAAGGTTAGAAGCAGCAGGTGGCGAGTGGTGGACCCACAACCAACACACACGACTCTTGCCTCTGCGCGGCGACACCCTATGACAGCTCACGTCCCCCCTGCAAGCACCCCCTGGCACGTACCATGCTCCTTTCGCTGCTCTCCCACTCCTGCGCCATGCCTTCACTTCACGCGTGCTGCTCCAGGCGTGGTGCTCCAGGTCAACTGGTTGGTCTGATGGAGCCATCATCTCGCAGATGTTGCAGCCAATGGTGATTTATGCGTTGCTGCAGCCACTGATGGTGATCACTGCCCCTTCAGTGCTGGAGGTGAGGGGAGGAAGGAAGGCATGGAAGAGGAAGCAAGGCCTGAGCAAGAAGAGGACAAGCGAGTGGATGAGAGGCCGAGCAGAAGCGAGTGGATGAGATGGCAGACGAAGGCTGGAGAAGGGACTGAGATAGAATGCCATGCATGGTGCATCTGAACTCCGGGTTACCTCTTGACTGGAAGAGACTTAGATGGAGAATCAGGGCGCCGTTTCTCCTCGCTGAATGGCTGCCTCTCGTCCATTCCCCGTCCGCTCCCTCCCCCTCCGTCTCGCAGGCCGTGAGGAACACACACGCACGAGGAAAGAGACAGCCACACAGAAGCGATGCAACAATGGAGGGTAAGAAGCAGCAGGAGAGGAGGCGAGTGGTGGCGGCAAAAGTAACCGACACGACTCTTGCCTCTGCGCGGCGACTCACTTCACGGCCCCCCCTGCAAGCACCCCCTGGCTCGTACCAAACTCCATCCACCACCCTGCCGCTCTGCCTGCAGCACGCCTTCTCTGCTAGCGTGCTACTCCAGGCTGCTCTCTTGCTGCTGCGCCAAGCCTTCGCTCCAAGCAGCGCCCTGCCGCTGCCCGTGCTCCTGGTTGCTCCGTTGCCGCTGCTGCTACTGCTGCAGTCGTTGCTGTCGTCGCAACCACCAGTGGCTGCAGAGAGAAGGAGAGGACAGGAGAGGGGTTAGGGAGCTGAGGAGAGTGGCACCAACATCTGACGGTACCGCGCTGCAAAGACTCATGGCACGTGGAAAATGGTGGACAGGAGAGAACACAACACGGAAAGCAGGAAGATGGTGAAGAGTGAAGTGGTGAACTGCTTGACCTGATCCACTCACAACCCCTTGTGTGCTCGCCATCATCCTGCAGTCGCTGCAGCCACTGGTGATCCCCGTTCACTCACTGACACCCCCGTCCGTCTCGCTGCCTTCCCCGTCCACTTGCTGCCTCCCCCGTCCGTCTCGCAGGACACAAGGCACACACACGCATGGGGAAAGAGAGACACACACAGAAGCGGCACAACAAGGGAGGATCAGGAGCAGCAGGAGAGGAGGCGAGTGGCAAAGACACGATCAAGAGACACGACTCTTGCCTCTGCGCGGCGACTCACTAAGACTCAACTCACGGCCCCCCTGCTAGCACCCCCTGGCACGTACCACTCCTGCACCATGCCTTCACCGAGGCGTGCTGCTCTGAGCCATGCCTTCACTTCAGCCGTGCAAGCCAGCAAGCACAGCCGTGTCGATTCCCCGTCCACTCGCAGCCATTCCCGTCCGCCTCGCAGGCCATGAGGCACACACACGCACACACGGGGAGAGGGACACGCACACACACAGAGGCGGTACAACAAGTGATGGTCAGAAGCAGCAGGAGGGGAGTGGCGGAAGCAAGGGCAACAGACACGACATTTGCCTCTGCGCGGCGACACTCTACGACTCAATTCACGGCCCCCCTGCACGCACCCCCTGGCACGGACCACGCCTGCTGGCCACTCTGCCGGCCACTCTGCTGCTCCTGCGCCTCGCCCTCAATCTTGAGCTGTGCTGCTCCAGGTTGCTCTCGTCACGACCGCCGCTGTGTATCTCTGCCTTTGACGAGCCAATTGCCGTTGCTGCCCCTTCTCCTCGCTGAACGGTTGTCCCTCGTGCGAGCCTGCAACGTGAGCCCTGTCCACTCCACTCCGCGCCATTCCGCGTCCACTCCGCGCCATTCGCCTCCCCCTCTCATAAGCCGTAAGGTACACACACGCATGGGAAGAGAGACACGCACACAGAAACAGCGCAACAAGGGAGAGTTAGAAGCAGGAGCAAGGAGACGAATGGTGAAGTCAAGGAAAACAGACGACTCTTGCCTCTGCGCGGCGACTCCCTACGAGACTTCACTGCCCCCCTCAAGCACCCCCTGGCACGTACCATGCTCCGTCCACCACTCTCGCACTCATGTGCCCCGCCTTCACTTCAGGCGAGCCAGCAACGGCGACGCCCTACGATACTTCAACCCCAGTGCCATTCCGCGTCCACTCCGTGCCATTCCGCGCCCACTCCGTGCCATTCCGCGCCCACTCCGCGTCATTCTGCATCCACTCCGTACCATTCCGCAGGCCGTGAAGCACACAAAAGCATGGAGAGAGAAAACACGTACACAAAAGGAAGGGTTACGAGAGACGGAGAGGAGGCGAGTGGTGGAGGCGAGGGCAAAAGACGC